AATTACCAGGCATCCTGCAGCTGCTTCCTTCTGTCGGTCAGGGCTTCCACTTCTCAGTCAGTTTACTTGAATACAACTGCTACTTTGAAAGAATCTCTGATTGCTTTATGAAAGATGGTAAACTGCACGTGCAGAGTGGTCCTTGCTAATGCATCCATGTGGTCCAGGGTTGAAGAGACCAGGCTGCTTTCTGCCATGGCCACATAAGCTGTGATTTGAGAGTCCAGCCTTGCCAGAAGTAGCTCTGGTGCCCCACTCATGTCCCTTTTCCACAGAGGTGAGGTGTGAACTTTCATCACCCTGCCCATTGAAAATGGGACTACCTGAGGTATGCACAAAAATAACGAGCATTGATCCAGGGAAGAAAGGATGACAACTTCCCCTGGGACTTAAGAATGGGACCTTCTCTATACTGTTTCAGGCTGTACTGATGATCACATGGTGGTACAGAAGTGATCTCCTAAATCATCAATCTCTTATATGTCACTATAACCTGTGTTTTATAACTACTTGTGTAAATTTTTTCCTCATCTGAGAGGATATTGCTGACATAAAGTATATCAGCTGCTGAGGTGGACAGAAAATTTTAAGACTGTTGTTGAAATTTGGCACTGTCTGTAGATTGTGGCAGCTGGATATAAAAGTGGTTTATAATGTGATGATACAGGCTTTCTCTGCTAGAAACCTTACTATAAAAATCTGATTATTTCCACTTTGTTTTAAAGGTGAATTGCTGAACTTGATTTTCCTCAACATCTCGAGTATCTTTTATAGACCCCAGGTGCTACAAAATAATGATTCTTTCCTTTAAGTTGTGCAACTATGTATCAATAATTGTATAAATATATGCATAAATAATTACACCGATTTACAAATAATAGTTACTGGTTTGTTTTAATTCTGATATGTCTGCTTCTGGAAGACCTTTTCAGAAGATGCGGGGCCAGAGGACTTTCAGAATGGCCCTGCAATTTGGTTAATAGGAAATACACTGCACTGAGCAGTACAACCTGAAGAGTAAGAACCCAATTATTTTTTTCATATCTAGCTTGTTTTTATATATTAGCAAGGAAAGAAAAAGCATATACAGTGTGTTGTCCTTTTACATTGTTTTGGGCTAATCCCAATTAAATATATCTTTCTCTTTTTTTAAACTCCCTATATCAGTGCAGCTTTTGAAAAACAGAAAGCTTTTCTGTGTTTTGTTTATACAGACATAGAATTCAAGTTTATCAGTTTCCTTCCCTTTCATTTAATCAAAAGTTCACAGCACTTGCCCTAGTTCCTTCCAAGAGTCGGGTACAAATACTTCTGTACACTGAAGGTACATCTGAAGTGCTAGAATGACAAACCTTTTAATCCTTTAAACAACAGAAAATTGTTTTGAATCTCACTTCCGCTCTGGGAATTCTGCTGGAATTTCTGGTACTACTACTAAAAAAAAGAAAAAAAAAATGCCCAAACTTGCCTACAGACAACGGATGCCTGAATCATTTCATGCGCTTGACATAACCATATGCAGAAATGCTGCCTCACAAGGGCTGGATTGCCAAACTTGCATGTGTTTCTGAGCTGTTCCATGCCTCTAATCAAAGAAAACCACAAGTATTGGGAAACTACAGAAATCTCAATAACAGAAGTTTTATTTTGACCTAGTTCAGCCAATAGAACTGTATTTAATTAGATTTAAAATCATAAGGTAAAATACCTTAGAAAACTGATTTGATAAAACAGATTGTGTCTGTTTGCATTTCAGATTGAGAGACAAAAAGGTCCTGAGAAATTAACCATGGTTTGTGTTTCTATAGTGTGAGGCTGCGTAGCTCACTGCACTGCTGCCTTTAGGTCTGTCACTCCCAGAACAAAAACACTGTGATCATGAGATCTGTAGAGCTAAATTTGTGCCAGAACTATTTCTCATTTAACTCTGTGGCAGGATCTTTAATGCCAAATCAAGTGCAGTTTCTTAATCATGCTTAACGTTATATAAAAACAGAGATGGGGTATCATCTGTCCTTTGCAGCCAGTGTAAACTTTGTATTGTTCTGGCTATCATCCACTCTGTCCTGGCTCCTTTCACAGATGGGCAGTTGTACATCTCTTCTTGGTCTGGATCAATCTTGTATTACTGGGTTATCTGGTAGCTGGCAGTCACTGAATTCATGTTCATGAATCCATGGCCTGGGTGTCTGTCTCATGCCTACTGTTTCATTCTGGTATTTTGCATCAGAAAAAGGATTTGGTGTTTCGGATACATTTAATCACTTTGTGTTATGAAGTTCAGACAATTTAAATTACTTTGCCATGAAGCAGAGCTTTGGTACTTGAAGAATTCTACCTGTAGTATTCTCTTTATTGGCAGACTAACAAAATCATGGTTACTGGCCTTTGGGAAAAAATGTATTTATTTAATCTTAGCTTTATGTTCTTTTGCTCCTTGGTGGATGCCATATACAGATCAATAAGGTAATAAAATTAGTGCTTTTTAAAAAAAAAAGAACTGAGAGAATCTTCCAGCGTGTCATTGTGGAAGAAATGCATCATTACAATTTCACGGGTGGTGCTCACTCTTTTATTAGGCTTCTACTTTATGAGTATCTACAGCTAGAGTTCTTCATTGAGTGCTTGTTTTGGCTTGACTGAGTCTGAAGACTGCAGTCTAACATATGGTTCTAACAAAGGTAATCCTTGTCTCATAACTGGAGGTATAGGCTTAGGTCAATAGTGTAGTATGAATGTATACACTACCATAAATCTGGACAGCAAAAACATACATATAGTGAAATTCTATGGTGGTTTTCATTGTAGGAATAAAGCATACTGTTTCCTTCCAGGATTTACAGTTACTTGCTAGATTTCGTTTGGACTTTTTAAAAACGAATGACAATTCATAGAAGATGATGTCTCTGCTTCTAACTAGGCAGGAATTCAGATCTACTCTTTGGGGGCAGGGGGGAAATCAGTAAAAATCTGGAAAGCTGCAATCAAAACAGTAAAGTCAGAAGCAAATGGATTAAAGGCCTTTTGAGTTATGTTGGCACTTTTTCCTTTTTGAGAAGGTTTTTAAACTAACAGCTTGAGCTGAATAAACTTGAAATATTTCTCAAGTGTTTGTTTCTGTGAATTGCTTTCTAATGAGGTCATAGCTGTTTTCCCGGACACAGTGGTATTTCCTCTTACTTTTTTTTTTTTTTTAATGCTGCTTTCTACATTATGCCTTGAAGACAGAATAGACATATAAAATTCAAACATTGCTCAGGATACTTCCAAGTTTCAACTCTAATGCTTTACAATCATACTAAATGGCTCAAGGCTGGAGCTCAATGTAAGCGTATGTGGAAAGAAATACTGGAGTCCTTGAAATGCTTTAAAGTTTTGAAGAAAACCTGTATCACTGTCAAGAGTAACTCAGATGAAAAGTTTTTAGCCCCCAAAATTAAGAGGATTGGGGTAGGTGGAAAGGAATCTGTAAATGCTGAATTTTCATTTAAATATATTTCATCTCCTATATTTTGAGCACTAACCAAAAGAGAAAAATCACTTGACCACAAAGTGGGCAGTTTTCAGCCCTATGTAGTAAGTAAATAGGCTTTTCCATGTATTCTACAGAAATGAGCAACAAAGACAATTGTCCTTTCTTTCCTTTGCTATGTTTAGTTCAAATGTAATAAAATTTGTTGGGTTTATCAACGGTTTGGTAGTGTTTAATTTTGACTCAGTTGCTGAAATAAAGTTTCCTGTTTGCAGAACCTTTGGCTTTTGAGACTGCTAGATTTGTAGCTTCTGAAAAAATACATCTGTTTACTAGATACTGTTTTACTTCAGGTAGCTGTTTTCTGACATCTTGGAATAGTGACACAGAAGGGCCAAAAAGTTCATTCTGAAGAGGGGAAGAAGGAGGAGGCTTAAGTTTTTGAGTAATGTATTGATGAAACTGTGAAGTCATGATTTCTTGATTAACAGTGTTTCAGCCCTGGGCTGTGGATCTGCACAGTCTGGTTGAACAGAATTCATTCTGCTTCCAATAGGTGGTGGAAGGTGGAAGGAAAGCTCACATGTGTGAGGTAACTGCAAGGTCAAAAGCCCTAAGGAGACTCTTCATGATGTGTGGTTCTGCAAAAAAAAAAAAAAAAAAAAAAAAAGAAAAAAAATTTAAAAGTGGTTAAATCTGCAAATAGTTTTGTTGTTTTAGTATCTTTTCCCTTTTTTTTGTTTTAATATTAACAAAGTAACAAATCAATGTCTTTCCCAAAATAATTAGGAATTTTCAGAGGCTTTTAGTTTCCCACAAAGTTTGGATTTAATTATACATTAGGGCTCTGCTGTAGATGTAGGCATACAAGAAAGATTCATCTTGGTTTTAAGCATTTATTAAAATTGAGATTATTTTCTGTGGTGGGTGTAGATGTGAGCTAACTAGTACAGCTCCAGGTTGCTTGAACTGAGAAGTATTCAGTTCTGCATAACAGATCATACTGTCATAGAATATGTTTGGGGTTTTGGTTTTTTTTTTTTAAACATATCCCTCTGGATTAGACAGCTTTAGTGCAATTTATCCACCTGTGTACCAAGTCCTGCAGAAAGGAAGATTACACTTAAGAACCAGAAACAGAAAAATCTATTGCTTCATGTGCTGAAATTTGAAGTATCTTCTGGCTCATCCAGAATGAGAACAGTTTAACACAGCTATTTACCATCTATGAATACTAGTGCCATAACCTACCTTCAGTATTTTAATTCTTAAAATTGAGAGTTTTAATTGTAAATAATTGCTCTGAAAGAAATAAAATGCTATTCAAAATTATCTTCCATTGTTGAAACAGGCAAGAAAATATACCATGTTCTTAGAAAATAAATGGGTTTGAGTTTAAAAAATTAAAGAAAAATCAGCTGTCTCTTTCATATCTGGTTTTGTGAGTAGCAACATGTGTTTAACTATTTCCCATTTATCAATATCTGTAAAATACATATTTTTTTTTTTTTTTTTTCCTTTTTTTCAGAAGTGAAGCCAACTTGCATATTTAACAGCATGGAATATTATGATGGAGACATGTTTCGAATGGATGCTTGTCGGTTTTGTCGATGCCAAGGTGGAGTCTCTATTTGTTTCTCTGCCCAGTGTGGTGAGCTACACTGTGACAGGTACTACGTGCCTGAAGGAGAGTGCTGCCCAGTGTGTGAAGGTACAGTATCTTTTTTATCCTGTTTGCTTATTAATTCTGATGCTTTTTTTATTTGATTTGCAAATGAGCAAACAAATGCTTTATTTTGTTCTTCTGAAGTTTGAAGATTCCTCCTTAGTTCATTTCATTTCTACATCTTTGCTGTGTCCAAGTATGCTGTGTTGTTTTTGCAGTGCTTCTCTGACATTGACACACTGCACTTTTTATAAAAAGCTGCTTGAGTTTCTTTTCCCTTCTGTATCAGAACTTCCTTAAACATTGTCAAGTGTGCATTACTTTTTGGGGGCCTCCTTCCCAAAGGACTTAAGAAGCTGTTCCTAATCTATGCACCAGGTTTACACAGGTTTCTCCAAAGCAGCAGTGGTGACCCCAAGACAAGGTTCCGTTGCTTTGCAGTCTGCTTCCAGCCTTGTTCTGTTCATCTAGGGCAATGCATACACCTTCTCTACAATTATAGCAAAGAAACGGGACAGTAATCTGACTTCAACATTTTTCTCTTCCTCCTTTGCCCTGTTGACAGCCTTCTCTGCTTGCTAGGCCTGCAGTCCTCCTAAAAAAGATTCTGTGGGAAATTTCATGTTGACCCTGTTGCTTACACAAGAAAGTATTTGAGACATGTTCTGCCAGAATATGATCAGAATTCCAGCAGAGGGAAATGGGGCTGGTTCTCTACACTTCAGTCTCACCCCAGTGGGGGACAGGTTATGGCCATGGCATAGACAGAAGGCCTGTGAGGCATGCCTGGTCCCTGTGTCTAGATGTGAATTTAGGAATGACTTCTCAATAAGCAAAATAACAAGGAAATCTCAAATCTCTTCCTAAGAGGAGAGGAATCTAATTATTAATGTCATTTTCAAAAACTTTGCTATGTGCTTAATATCAGTATTCCAGTAGTTCCTTACAGGACCAAGGAAGCCAAAAGATCCATTGTAGTTACGCTTCATTCCAAAAAGAGAATGATTAAAATAAAGAACCCTGTAAAAATTAGTCTAAAAGAGGCAGCTGTAAAGAGTTGGACCTTCTCAGTCAGCACAAGATCTAGTGAAGGGTGCTGTTTTGGTGGCTCTTTTTGTTACAAACTATTGAAAACTTCCTCAGAGATTTGAAAAAAAAATAAAATCTGGATAATGAAATATCAGTGTGGTAAGGTAGGAAGTAGGAAGTCATTCTTTTAAAAAGTATTTGTATTTTTATGCTTTAGTGTATCAGTTCATATCAGGTTGATACATGATGTTCACATGTAGAGAAGCTGAAATATAAATGTTGTAGGCTTAAGTATTCTAAAGAGTATCTGCTGGGATCAAAACACAGCAGAGAGGGAAAAATCCAGGAGGTTCCTGGAGTGTGTGGAGGATAACTTCCTCACATAGCTGGTGACTGAGCTGACAAAGGAAGGTGCCCCCATGGACCTGCTTCTTGTGAACAGGGAAGAGCTGGTGGGGGGAGTAAAGGTTGGAGGCTGTCTAGAGTGCAGTGATCATGAGATGATTGAATTCTCAATCCTTGGAGAAACAAAGACAGGGGTTAGTAAAACTGCCACCTTAGACTTCTGGAGGGAAAATTATGACCTGTTCAAAAGACTGATTAACAAAATCCCTTGGGAGGCTGCCCTGAAGGACAAGGGAGTCCAGGAAGGCTGGACATACTTCAAGAGAGAAGTCTTAAAGGTACAGGAGCAGGGTGTTCCCGTGTACCGAAAAACAAGCAGGCAGGGAAGGAGAACGGCCTGGCTAAACAGGGACATTTGGCTGGATCTCAAGAACAAAAGGAGAATCTATTGCCTTTGGAAGAGGGGGCAGGTCTCTCATGAAGACTATAAAGTCATAGTGAAGTTATGCAGGGAGAACATGAGGAGAGCCAAAGCACAGCTAGAGCTCAACTTGTCTACAGCTGTTAAGGATAACAGAAAAATGTTTCTGTGTATTCATTAACAGCAAAAGGGGGATTAGGGAAAAATCTCCCTCCTTTACTGGATGCAGAGGGAAACATGGTAACTAAGGATGAGGGAAAGGCTGAGGTGCTCAACGCCTACTTTGCCTCAGTCTTTAGCAGTGGAACTGGCTGTTCCCCGGACACCCAGCCTCATGAGCTGGGAGATGGGGAGGGGAAGCAGACTGAGGTCAGCACAGTTGAAGAGGATGTGGTCAGAGACCTGCTGCACCACTTGGATGCACACAAGTCTGTGGGACCAGATGGGTTACACCCAAGGGTGCTGAGGGAGTTGGCAGATGTGCTCGCCCAGCTGCTGTCCATGGATTTACCTGGAGTCATGGCTAACTGGGGAGGTCCCATTGGACTGGAGGGTGGCAAATGTGACACCCATCTACAAGAAAAGCAGAAAGGAGGATCCAGGAAACTATAGACCTGTCAGTCTGACCTTGGTGCCAGGGAAGGTCATGGAGCAGGTCATCTTGGCTGCCATTAAAAGTCATATAATGGACAACCAGGGGATCAGGCCCAGTCAGCATGGGTTTATGAAAGGCAGGTCCTGCCTGAAAAACCTGATCTCCTTCTATGACAAAATGACCCAACTACTGGATGAGGGAAAAGCTGTGGATATTGTCTACCTGGGTTTTCGAAAAGCATTCGACACAGTTCCCCATAGAATTCTCATAGAAAAACTGGCTGCCCATGACCTGGATGAGCGAATGGTCTGCTGGGTCAAGCACTGGCTGGATGGACGGTCCCAGAGAGTGGGGGTCAATGGAGCTAAATCCAGCTGGCGGACGGTCACAAGTGGTGGTGTTCCTCAGGGCTCGGTGTTGGGACCATTTCTGTTCAACATCTTTATTGATGATCTTGACAAGGACATAGAGTGTATCATCAGTAAATTCACAGATGACACCAAGTTAAGTGGGAGTGTCGATCTGCATGAGGATAGGGAGGCTCTGCAGAGAGACTTGGATAGACTGGATCAGCGGGCCAATGTTAACGGGATGAGCTTCAACAAGGCCAAGTGCCAGGTCCTGCCCTTGGGCCACAACAACCCCCTGCATGGCTACAGGCTTGGGGAGGTGTGGCTGGAGAGCTGTCTGGAGGAGAAGGATCTGGGGGCTCTAATTGACAAGCAGCTGAACATAAGCCAGCAGTGTGCCCGGGTGGGCAAGAAAGCCAACGGCATCCTGGCTTGTGTCAGAAATAGTGTGACCAGCAGAAGTAGGGAGGTGACAGTCCCCCTGTTCTCTGCACTGGTGAGGCCACACCTGGAGTGTTGTGTCCAGTTTTGGGCACATCAATACGAGAGAGATATCGAGGTGCTGGAGCGAGTGCAGAGGAGGGCAACGGAGCTGGTGAAGGGCCTGGAGAATAAATCCTGTGAGAAGAGAGTGAAGGAGCTGGGACTGTTCAGTTTGAGGAAGAGAAGGCTGAGGGGAGACCTCATCACTCTCTGCAACTACCTGAAAGGACATTGTAGAGAGGTTGGTGCTGGTCTCTTCTCACAGGTGATCAGTGACAGAAGAAGGGAGAACGGCTTTAAACTCCAACAGGGGGGTTTAGACTGGACACGGGGAAAAAAATTTTCACAGAAAGAGTGGTCAGGCAGTGGAATAGGCTGCCCAGAGAGGTGGTTAGAGTCGTTTAGATGAGCTGTTGGGGGATATGGTGTAGGGGAGAACTTTGTAGAGTAGGGCTGATGGTTGGACTCGATGATCCCAAGGGTCTTTTCCAACTGGAATGATTCTGTGATTCTGAGAGATACAAGTCCATGTTTGTCCTGTGTTTAAGATCTGGTCTAGATATTAACTATTGTTATCACTTTTAGTTGGAGGCAGTTTCAGTCTTTCCTGGTACAGTTGTGCCTATACTTTTAAGAGCCTTCAAGCTGTGCAGAAAAAAAAAAAAAAGATTCAGTGCTCTACTGTCATTTAATGACAGATTTAAAAATTTTAAACAAGGCGTATCTGATGTGGTGAAACACTTCCTAAGTGCAGATCCTCTCCTGAAGTATTTGCTACATGAGCTGCTGACTGTATAGAATATGTGAAATCTGTTTTTTTCCTGTTATTTCTATTTTTCACATATGTGAATATTCTGAGATTTGGGATTATGAAATCCTTATGACAAAGTATATAGATACTTAAACAGTGTAGCTATGTTTCTATTGTGTCTGGGCTCTGTATATCAGTTCTGTCATACTCAGATGTGGGTGCTGATTTTCCACATGTACTTAATAGTTTTACTTAAGTCCTTTGTCCTCTTTGGTGATTTAAATATTGAGCTATTTTATAATTTATGAATAAATTGTTCTGCCGTATCATCATACAATGTTAAAAGTTGATTTCTCCATTTTTGCAACCTTTGACTCAGACTATCAAGAAAACCTGTTGACATTTCTGTTTGGATTTGAGTTGGTGTGTATTGGGCCTTCAGTGGAAATTTCTTCTTAAGACAGGTCCTTAGTAGATAGAATGAAATGTATAATGGTTTATAATTATTGACTACAATCTTCTTTTTCAAGTAATGGCTGTGATTTAATTTCCACTCAGCTGACTGAGATGCCAAGTTACAGGGTCCTTCATCAAATCACCCAGTGGTGGTTGGCTTGCTTCTTTCTTTCTGTTCATGCTTTTCTGATAGGGCTTGTAGGACTGAATCAAGAAAGTCCAGTTTCTGACTTCTGAATGATTGAATGGTAAGATACATGTTGTTTTTTTACTATAAATCCCTTTTGATTTAGTGGAAATTTTAGGTGAGGCTAGCGAACTGGCTCCATTAATGTATTTTTTCCTGGTTCCTTTAAACACTTAAAAAGGAAAAAAAAAAAAAGCAGCAAGTTCTGATTGCTTTCTTAATAACTCAGGTTATGTTAAGTGACATCTAAATTGACAAGGTAAGACTTAAATGGCCAGAATGTATACTTAACAGCCCACCCATTCATGCTTTTCTAGTTGGTGAAGAGGTGGCATTTTTTTCTAACTCTTCTGTTTCTACTTGATTATTTCATGACTGATTTTCAAGGTGATTGTTTTCTACTGTTTCCTTGATGACAGAAATATAAAGAAATATAACGCTTTTTTTTCTGCAACAATTTAAAACTGGCAAATGGTAAATTTGATGTGCATTGTGTAGTACAGGCACAGGCCCTTCTTGACTTTGCTCCAGGAAGACTTTCTTTGAAGTTCTATAGGAGATCTTAGCATCAGGAAATTTCCTGGGCTCAATTTGTAGATTTAAATGCTGCTGACTTTTAAGGGTACCAGGGACTTTGTGCTTTGACTTGCCTGGAAGACTACTGAAAATAACATAAAATAACAAAAAAAAAAGTCTTATATGGCTTTTCTGTGCTTTCTCTGTATTCCAGTGTCAATCAGAATCCCATACATGAGTTGAATAATAAAATTCACTTCATTTGTTTGTATATGATTCAAATTTTAGCTAGGTCAAAATAGTTCAGTACAGATGCAAGGTAATCCTAAAACATAAAAGGTGCAAAATTAAGAGATTAGAAAACATTTTTAACGTCTTATTTTCCCAAACACCTGTTTCTATATTGGCTTAACTTATTTTACTAAAAATTTGGAATATTAATAAAATTCAGGATGGGAATGAATGTCAGGTAGAGGTAGTAGTTGTGCACAGTTACACTCTGAATGTTGAGAGTTTGATACAGTCATAAAGTGATACAGTGGTTTATATCCCAACAGCTATTAGCACTGCTACTATTTAAAATATGTTGCCTTCCTTCCAAAGGGGAGTGATGAAATTTCAGAGAAATATTCTAAGTATGATTCAGTGCTTTTTATTTCCTTTAGATAGGATATCTCTTTTCTCCCAGGTCATTCAAACTTAACACTTTTTGAAAATTGACTTATGGGTAAATGTCTTGTGCTTATTTGATGACTGATATCTGATGTCTGCTAAAAAATGGCTTTGATTGTATTTATTGTTTTTAATATACTGAATTTGCTTTAATATGTAATTTGTATTATTGCTTGCTTTGAAAACCTGACCCTAAGTACTGTACATTCTCATATAATTAGTTTTTGAGTCTAAGTTACCTTTTTATTATCCACTGTGATAAGTTGCATATATTCACATAATGCATATTTTTTTACTATTAATATCAGTGTTGTTTATTGCATTTCTGAAAAGTAAACCATGTTATTTCTGACAAGTAAAAGCTGATTTTATTCCAAGTCATGAATTATCATATATTGAGTTGAATTATTTATTTGCATGAAACTTGATGAGAAATCTTACATAAAGTACATCCCCCTAATTTCTGTTATTTAAATAACTGAGTCTTAATTTGATTGCTAGCAGGTAAGTGGGTCTTGCGGCTTTTAAGGGGAAAAAACTTCAACTGAAGTGAAATTGAAAACTGAGCCAGATTACCTGTTCAGGAAAACTAGTATATCTCCAAAACTGTGATGAGGTATAGCTTAAAGCAGTGTCCTTGTTGGGGCAGGAAATGTGCTAGAGGTCTCGTCTTTGCTCATATCATAAAATAGTGGTGTGATGCTGACACGAGTCATTCCAATAGTTCATTGAGATGTTTTCAGTTTCCCTCAGAATTTGTTAAATTGGTACAAAAAATGAATCAATAGATCTGAGATTCATTTTGTTCTGAAGAACAAAATTTGAAAATCAAAAAATTAAGCCTCATAATTGTTACATACAAAACTTGAGCTGAAATACTTAAAAATAGAACACTGAATTTATTAATGTTCAGTATAAGTTGACAACTTTTTTGACAGTGAATTTCAATATTGAAATACCTACATTGTTACCCATCTTATTTTCTCACTCTGTACCACAGTGTGGTTCTTTCAATGTTTGGTAGTGGCTGCACTTAACCCTTTCTAGGTAATGTAAAATCACAGTATAGCACTTATTCATACATGAAGTATGCTGTGAAAGGGAAGATAAAACTTCTTGTTCTGTTGCAATTTCTCTCATTTCAGACCCAGTTTATCCAGTAAATAACCCTGCTGGCTGCTATGCCAATGGTCAGATCCAAGCTCACGGAGACCGCTGGCGAGAGGATGACTGTACTTTCTGCCAGTGCATCAATGGAGATCCACACTGCGTTGCAACGGCCTGTGGGCAGAGCTGTCTAAATCCTGTTAAAGTCCCTGGGGAGTGCTGCCCAGTGTGTGAAGGTAAGAGTGGTATTTCCAGTATAATGCTTTGGTCTGTCGTGGCTGCTGCTTTCCTGGTAATTCCTGGTTTACTTTAAAATTTTGGAGGGTTGAAGTAGCTGTTACAGCATTGCCTGTGGCTAAATAAACTAGTGAGGGCAGAAAAAATAAGCATGGCTTAACTACACTTGTATGTGTCAATGTCCAATACCCTTTTGACCCAAAAGAGTATAGGAAGAGGTCATTTAAGATCAGTGTTGTTCACTGATTTTGCTCTTAGTTTTGCTTAAAGCTTATTAATAAATACAGGAGAAGTTAGAAAACTAAAATGTTCATCAGCTCATGCTACTGATAATTGGATTATTCCTGGTTGCTTATTCATCAGTGCCATTTAGATACAACTGAAAATCTCTTTGCACAATATAGTTTGATATTGGACATAATTATTTCAGTGAAACTTAGAAAGGATAATATTATCTGGGAGATAGATTAATTTTAACTGTTTAAAATACAGTTTTCGTTACCTTGTGGAAATACACATATCTTGTATAACTGACTGAGTTTTTAACTATATGGTAAATACTTCCTCAGCCTGGCAATGGAAATGTGAAGATTTGCAAACTGAGACATTTACCAAAAAAAAAAAAATTGTATGCATGTACGTTCAGATTTACTTTTTCTGGAGTAGTTATGCATCATGAAAAACACCAGACTGTGAAGTTCAGAAATGTTTACGTAGACCTGTCTTCCTAGCCATCTTCACAGTGTACAAGTGCTTGTGGATGCTCAATGAACTACCACTTACATTTTTCCTGTTACATCTCTGATAGAACAAAATTAATTTTGTGTAACTGCATGTGTCTTGGGGCCCTTCTTGAGTTGCGGTATCAATCCAAGTTCACTGGGATACTAACTTCTCAGGATAAATCTGAGGACTATAAAGATTTTTTTACAGGTGCTCATTCATTCCAAAATTCACATCATGAGATATGAAGAAGGTGTCTGATAATGTATAAAAGCTGATGCTGAACTGCAGAGAGTTGCTGCTTGCACTGAATTAATTTTACAATAAGGAAGCAAGTTAACTGCTTTTAAACCCCAGCAATCCCCTCATGATGGATATCACAGGGCATGTGCTGTCACCCCTCCTTATTTAGCATGTAGGTGAGCAAGGTTGGGAAGGTATTACAGGGAGAGGTTGATGTAAGTATTTTCAATATGTTGAGGGGGGTTTCCTCCAATGAGAGAAGTATAGCCAAAAGTCTCTGGTTTACAGATTGGAAAAAACGGGTAAGAGATAACTGGATTAAATGCTTACCTATATGAGACTGAGATAATTATGATGAACTGTGGGAAGCAAACACAGGGTATAGCATAGGCTTCCATCGTTCATTACTAAAGACTGCAATATAGCTAAGCTGGTGCTTCATTAACATACCCCATCAATGCCTCTACAGTGCTTTCAGGACACAAGTTATCCCATCTGGACTAGGTTAGGTAATTCTGTGCTATAACATGCTTTTACTCTTAGAAGCAAAAGGAACTAGTAACTGCTTAAATCCATAAAAGTTGTTTTTTTGTGGTTTTTGGGGGTGGGATGTGGTGTTAAATTATACTTACAATACCAGTGATGTCGAATAGATCAAGGCTGACACAATAGCACCATGGTATCAATATTTAAATGAGATTCTTATGTCATCTTAATTATATTTTCTCAGAAAATATTCTGACTTGTTATTTTGTCATGTTAGCTGTTGTACTATGTACACTTAAACGTAGCCACTTGGTTTTGAGTGTCTTATCTGGAGAAAAGTAATACTGCATAGTATTTTGAGAGACTTCTAAATTTTAGGCTTAAAAGCATCACATTTGACTCAGTGTTTCTTTGACAGCACATACTGCCAAGTAAACAGTCAAGGGGTAATGAAATTGCATAAATTCTAGAACCAGCAATTCCTGGAAATAGTTTTTGTTCATGGTAGGAAGGGGTTTGAGCATACTCAGGCACCAGTGGTCAGAGGATATCTGAAAACACCTTGAATCCTCTCTTCTTTCTTCCCTTCTCTCCCCCACAGCAAACAAACCTAAACAAACAGGTGATTATGCTTTGTAATGCCAAGTTGTTTAATTTCAGAAATTTAGTTTTGGGAATATTTCAAGGATCAAAAATCTGGACTGTTAAAACTCAGCAGTGAGTTCAGATGCTAGAACCCAAGATATAAAAAATCGAGTTTGCAAGAAGCAGCTTCAAATGACTATGAGAAATTTCTCAGCATCTGAGCCTTAACAACTTACTTTGGAATAATAATAAATAAAAAAATCCCCAAGAAATTAACTAGTCAAGGGTATCAGTTAACTTCTTGAAGTTATGTTTTGGGGCATCAAACGGGTTAAAGGCTGCTATGCCTTGTGATTAGCAGCCTGAATAAAAACGTTTACATATATTAGAGAAGAAATTTGTTAATTAAGGAGACTTGTGTGTCTCTGACTCTCTTAACATTTTTCTTTGAAAACTTGCATTAAGAAAATCCTAGAATGTTAGGAACAAATAATAATGTTAGTTGTTGGCTGTCTGCATACTGTGCATTTTTAAATTATTTTTGAAAAAAAGTAGATGTTTGAGCTGGTGCCACCAGGGACTTGTGTATTATCCATAGACTTATGTCCCACCTCCAAGGTCAGATAGGATCATGCGTCTTAAGCCTTACATCTGAGATCAATAGTGTTTCTACTTGGAGTTTGATGCATGGGTAGAAAAAAGTTTTGTCTGCTTTCCTTGCAATACAGCTATTGCTTGCTAACCCACTAGGCAAGGGGCTTCTTCAGATTTCTGTTCTGCGGTTTTCTCCTTGTAGTAGGACTGAACTGGAGAAGTATGCTGTTGGAAGATGGGCCTTTAAAACATTGCTTCATTTGCGCATATGTCCTGAATTTTAGTTACATAGTTTAATAACTAGGTCCTATCTGAAATGCTGTTTTGTTTGTTATCATCTACCCAGCTGACATCTCTGTTCTCTTAACCAGGTAGGCTGCATGGATCAATGTTCCTTCCCCTCTTAAATCAACTTCTCACCCATTTTCCTGAGGGTTCTTTCTGTTGATGAGGTTCTGCTCCTGATACTCGCTGCATCGTCAGTGACCTGAAAGGGGTGGTGGGATCAGGGGAGAAGGTGGTCCTATCTGGGAAGCTGGCTGACAAATCAATCACTTGATTTTAATGGTACTAATGAAAAAGATGTGCAGTATGTTTAGAGAAGATGTACAAGCAATGAAATACATTTCAGGCACAGTTTTTCCTAAGAGGACTTAAAATCCATCAGTGTCAGCTATATGATGCTTTTCTGCATACTACCCCATTAAATCTGCATATCTGTAGCTTAACCTTAATTTTGCAGTGTACTGTATGAGCAGAAGTGTTGACTGAATAGAAACTCAAACATTACTAACATTGCACTAATAGCTTAAACAGACTGTCCTGTGCTCTCCAGTCTGTTCTCCTTTTTTCCCCCCATGCTTCTGTTATCTCTTATCTCCTATTATTTGGCAACAAAACCCAAAATCATCTAGTGTGGGCTAAGTTCTGGGATCACTGATGTTATATGATACCGTATTTTCAACTATGCAAGTTATTCAAGAAAGGAGTTCAAGGGAGAAAACAGTGTTACTTAGTGATATGCTCAATAAATGGGGAAAATTAAGGTAAACTTAGCAGATGATTTTGAGATAGTAGTTTACCAGTGATTATAAGGGTAAACATACCTCATTTTACACTTTTCTTTTGAATGGCTTCCAGTTCACAACTCACACTGTAAAATGTTCTATCCGCAGAGACTATAGCATAGTGAAATAATGGGTTTTTTGTAGATCAGTTTAAAATGACTGTGTATAGTAATTCCAAAGTTGTATTATAAAATTTCATCATTAATATACTTTTCTGCTCTTGCATGTATTGTATGTTACATTTCTTAATTAAGCTATGGCTCTTACTTTTGTATGAACTACTTCACTTGTTTGGGAGACTAGTGCAGAATGTAGGAAAAAAATATTTTTCTTCTAGAATCTTAACTATGTTTCAGCTCTAAAACAGGAAGACGATTGACACCTGTTGAAAACTTTCTATTATTTTTTGTCAATTTAGTTACTGATGGACCAATTCAATCCCATATTTCAATGCAAAACGAGGTACATCAAGAATAATAAGGCAGGGACTTTATATGCTTATCACTATTCTTCACTATGCATTTATTTCTTATCAGACTTCTGTTTACATGTAAAAGAGGACATGCTTGCCATCAACCAGCTTCAATTGTGTAATTTTATTTTAAGCATGTCTGATACTAGCCCTTTAGTATGTGAAACAAAATTTTTAGTCAAAGATGTTTCTATCATTTATTTTGAGTGTTGAGGGATAAGAGTGGTTTGTGGGACATGAAATTGATGGACAAATTGTAATCAGAGCTGCTTGTGGATCTGGCCTGGTCGTGATTCATCTGGAATAAGTGGTTATTAGTATCAGTCACTTCTGACTCTTTCCCTTCTCTCTTTGATCTAAATGCTGCTGCACCTACAGTTCTGCCAGTTCAGTGATTTGCTGGCTGTTTTATAATCAGCTTCAATGAAGGAAATATCTATTCCCCTAGATAAGTTTACATTCCTGCAGCTACATAAGGATAAAATTGTTCTTGGATTAGATTTTTTTTTTTTAAATGCCAGTGAGAGATCAAATATAATGTAGTAGAAGTTCTGTGAACACAGGTTCTTGAAATGTCAGCACAGTATGTCAGCACACAAATGTATTCAGCCTTTGAACGCTGTAAATTCAGAGTAAACTAGAACATTCCTGCTCCCTCATGAAGAAAATTCTGGTGGTGTTACAGCAGTGAGAAAACCAGGGTTCAAGGATTGTAGAGACTGAAATTATACAGAAGTAGCTGTTCATAGATTTCTCAATTAGAGATCAAGGAGCAGCAGCTGTGATATGTAATATTGCCATACAGACTGGATTTCTATCAGTTTTCCAC